ATTTAAAGGTTTAGGAACATTTACTATATTAATTGGCTAAGCAGTAATTCTTGAAAACTTAGAGCATAAAACTGTAACGAAGAAATAAAACTTTAAGAAATCGTCTGTTCTCATTAAAAGAGAGACAGTTTTTATACTAATGCGAAAAAGTGTAGCACCGCAATTATCTCTGTGTTGTTTAATTAACCAATTCGAAAATGCCATCTTTTGTACGTCACGCTCAAGTACCCGCCGATTCTATTTTAAATTGCCAAGTTCGGAAAATAATTTCATACCTTATTAAAATTTTGAAAGACTGGTTATCTGCCAAAGAAGTTGCTTGCAGAACTATAGTAATTAAATAAAAAACAGAAAAAAAAACTCAGACACTAGTTATAAAAGTAGAACGTTGCTGAAAGCTTTCGTTTTATCAAGTTTTTGTGATATTGTAAGAAAGCTTACTTCCAAATTACAAATAAAAAACTATTACAATTTGTGAGTAATAATTTAAATATTTTCAAAAATGTATAAATTTTAAAAAAAAAAGATGAACACAAAAAATTTATCTTACAGTAATTTAAAAAGAAAAGTTTTAAAAACTGAATAGTCTATAGAAAACCATTAACATTGTACTAATAATGTTTTTTTTTGACTTTAATAGGTGCTGCTTTATAGTGTTTTGCAATGTTTAAGCGTATTTTAAAAAGAACGTTTACATTACATCATATTTTATAATAAATTGGAGAAGAAAATTTTGCTTAATTTATATAAAATTTGCAGCTAAAATTTTGTAGAAATACAAAATTATTTTGTCTTTGTAAATTCTGCATTAAAAAAGCTAAATATTCTTTATTGAGATGTTTCAGGTTCGTTGATGCAGCAGTCAATATGTTTTGGCCTTTTTTGGCAACTTCCAATTTTAACAATATTTGCTGTTCTCAAATTTTTACAGATTTATTATCGTACAGACAATACAGATCTAAATTTTTGCAGTATTTTCAAAAATACAATGTTTAGAGGTTAAAAAAGTGCTATTATTGAGCTTGATGATGCAAATTTGAAGAAATTTCTGGTGTATGATAAATCTAAAGCATTTCAGTTGTAGACGGCTTTTGTGAATGACAGGTCGGTGCATGAATTATAGTACTGCAAATAATCATGAGCTAGTTTGACTAGTTACCAACATTGAAAAAAGCCGTAAAAATTAAAAACGTTCACAATAAAAGGTAAAACATAAACAGTAATTAGGTTGTCTTTTGCACGTCACCTGTACTGCAGGAAGATTATTGTAGACAGTTACAACAAGTGAATGTATCAATGATTATTGACTTGGTTTGGTGCAGAGATCAGCGTGACAAAATAGACTTTGCAGTTGACCTTGGTTATCCATTTTGCAAAAAAAGGATCTTTAGTTGTCAATCTGATGTATACTTCTGACGCATCACCTATTCACTACTAACTAACAAAAAAATTTTTTGCAAATTTACAAAATACTTCAAAAAAACTCTTTCTTGTAATCAGAATATAAATTTTGAACCAAAAATTTGTTGTTACAAGACTTAAGGCATTTCAATACGTTCTTTTATTTTTGTTTTTTTTTTTCTCTTTTGAGTGCAAATTAGAGTTATTCATTAAGTTAAGATATACAGTAGAGGTCTTAATCAGTATTATATCTTAAAAAATAAAAAAATTATATTAATGCTTTCAAAATAAATCAAAGTTATTGAGGATAGAAGAATTTGTACAATTTGTTTCATTTTTTTTCTCGTCTAGACTCTACAAATCTGTTTGATAAATGTTTGAAAATTATGTGCATGAGGTAAATCTTCATAAAATTATATTCAGGTAAGCCTAATGCAAAGTCTTTTGAGATGTAACTTTTTAGCTTTTATTTGTACTGCAAACTTCCGCTACATTTTAGACAAAAAACTTAGCAGAAAGAACGTTGTTTCAAAAGCAGAAAAGTTGTAGTATCAAATAAATTGAATAGCAGCGTAATAAACAACTACAACAAATTTACGTCTGTATTTCTTTTCGGTAACAATCATCTCATCGTGTTTTTGTTTTTTTTACGTAATAAAGTGCGTCATCTTTCAGGTGCTAAATCTTTCTACTTTTGACACCACTGATGACTTTTATCGTATTTATGGGTTTCAAAAAAGTTTAATTATAAACTTTTTACGGCACAGAATTAAAGCCGAAGTACAATACATATGACAAATTAATTTATTTTTGCGTCGCTAAAACGTACTTATATATTTTAATTTAAAAGTAGTTGATTGAAAAAAAAAATTTGACTGGGGAAAGTAATTTTTGCGCATTATAAAAATGTGTTTTTTTTTTTGAGCTATTAATTACTAAAATTTTTAGTTTTTTATGTGTTTTAAAAACCAGTTTTAAAAAAACAATCCCGAAAAAGTTAATTTACATTTTATCAATATTTCCTCATTTCACTACAAGCGTTTGGTCACTTTAAAATGTTTCCAAAATTAGTCAATTTTTCAATTCTTACTTCATTCTCAATTCTGTTTTTAAGCTAACAATACCTTTGACATTGTGAGAACAACAAATTTCACGTTTGCCTCGTGAGACAAGAGAACAACGTTTTCAGCTTTTCAGATGCAAACTCACGTTGTTTCAAACAATAAACTATTCTGTTATGTAATTTTTCTGTCTGTTTTTTTTTTTTTTTTTT